TAAAACTCATAGGAAACAATTCCGTATAATAAAATATCGACTTTTAATTTTACACTAAAAGGTCAACCTGAAAGTAAACCCGAAAGTCAATCCAGGGCCCGCACCTCGGAACCCAAATTTTTTTTTATGAAATCCAAGCACCATTTCGATACGAGTCCAACCATACCAAATTTATCAAATTTCAATAACAAATCGCCCTCCAAATCCTCATTTTTCGTTTTTGAAAGTTTTTACAAAAATTCTATTTTCTTCCAATCAATTCACTAATTAATGATGAAATCATGAAATACAACAAATTTCGGATATAGAACACTTAAGCAAATTAAACTCGTGAAGAACTCCTCCAAAATCGCCCAAAACCGAGCACCAAAATCCAAAAATGAACAAAAATTCCAAACCCCGAATATATATATGATTCTGTCCTATTTTCCTCCATTTGCGGACCATTATTTCGCATCTATGATCTCGCATTTGCGGTTCCAACTAGCCAGCCTAGTGGTCGCACCTGCAACTCCGCAGAAGCGCACAAACTGTCACAGAAGCAGTCCTCTGCCCAGGTCTCTATCGTCGCAGAAGCGACCAGATTCTCGCATAAGCAACTCCGCATCTGCGATCAACCCTCCGCAGATGCGGATACACCAGAACACTACCCAACAGCCTTAACCAAAAAATTTCCGAAACGATCCGAACCTCATCTGAAACTCACCCGAGCCACTGAGACCCCGTCCGAATGTACCAATAAGTCTTATAACATAACGTAGACCTACTCGAGACCTCAAATCACATCAAACAACGTCGAAACTACTAATCGCACTTCGATTTGAACTTATGAATTTCCAAATTTTCCAACTTTCAAAACTCGTGCCGAAACATATCAAATGAATTCCGATTGACCTCAAATTTTACACACAGGTCATAAGTGACATAACGGACCTATTCCAAATTTCCAAAATCAAAATTCGATCCCGATATCCATAAAGTCAACTCCCGGTCAAACCTCTCAACCTTCCAAAACTTCAACTTTCCAATTTCGCCAAAATGCGCCGAATTACCCTACGGACTTCCAAATCCAAATCCGGACGTACGCCTAAGTCCAAAATCACTATACGAAGCCATTGGAATCATCAGAACACCATTTTGGGGTCGTCTACAGAAAAGTCCAACTCTGGTCAACACTTACCGCTTAAGTTTCAAAACAAGAATCCTCCTTCCAAATTGATATAATCATCCGAAAACCAAACTACACAAGTTATAACACATAATAAAAAGCTGCTCGAGACCTTAAGCCACTGAACGAAATGCTAATTCCCAAAACGACCGAGCGGGCCATTACATCTTGGTCAAAAACTCCTAGTTTTGTCTTGCTTGTTCCAAACAATATCTCAATACCGCTTTTCATTTCAAGTATTCAAATTAAGTGAATATTATAGCTAAGAAAAATGAAAAATGAAGTAAAATAAGGTGCGAAAGAATATCCCTCTATTATCTTCTTCATTCTCTTCTTCCAATAAATTATCAATTCAATTGTATTGTATTCCAGTGACCATTCCTCCCGAAAGAGAGAAAGGGAAAAAAGGGAAAAAGAGGAAAAGAATATCCCTCTATTATCTTCTTCATTCTCTTCTTCCAATAAATTATCAATTCAATTGTACTGTATTCCGGTGTCTGTTTTAAAAGGCAAAATTGGGATTCGCTCGGGGCTCGCCCCGGAGCAGAGCACTCGTAAAACGCCCATGGGATTATGTGTGTGGCTTAGTTCCGTGAGACTTACGCCTCGGCCATCGGGGCTTATATCCCGGACACGCCCAACGCCCAGCGTACTGGACTTCGCCTAATAGAACTTTATGCAATTGCATGTAACTAACCTTGTAAATCCTCAAATTTTCTTAATAAATCGTTTAATACTCAAAATTACTTTTTTCTTAATTATAAATCATTAAGTTGAGAGTATTTTATATGATAATTAAAATAAAAATTATTGCACTTTATCCACTAAAGCTGCTATGATAGTTAAATTTAAAGATATCTTTTATTAAAAAGTATTTATTTATTAACTTTTATTATGTGTTTACTATATAATATTTCATAATTTTTATAATTATTTTTCTAATTTTTTTTTCCACGTTTAGGAGAAACAATACTTATTAATTTAATAGCTCAGTATTAGCTAGTAACTATTTACAAATAATTAGTTATCATGGTATTGTATGGTGAATTATGTGTCACTTTATTAACTTGTTGAAAGTTAAGAATGAATGATGCTAGAGAATTATATTTAAATTGTGAATTATGTTTTTGTGTAAATTCTCTTCAAATAGAAAGCATATTAAATAAAAGGTGCATTTTAAGAAAGAATATCAAATTATAATATCGAAATTCTTTCAAGATTCATTACTCCTTAAGAGATACATATAAGATTTCGTATCAAATACATTAATTTTGATGTATGAGTTGTAACGACATTGCAGCTAATTTGCATATTATGATATATGTCATACTTTTCGTATTATTCATAGTTGAATTATAATATATAAATATTTTAAATAGATTATTTGTTATAATTTTGTGATTTTAATGTAATTTTTATAATTATTTTTTATTTTATACTATCTCAAAAGTCTTGAAATTAGTAAAATTTAAAGATCCATGGGACTTACGCCTCTGGAGTTACACCTCGCCTCGTCAGAGGTAAAACGCCCCGCCTCACGCCCCCGCTTTTTAGAACATTGATTCCAGTGACCATTCCTCCTGGAAGAGAGAAAGGGAAAAAAGGGAAAAAGAGGGAATACTAGTCTGTATCTATTCAATTTTGTTTTCAGTTTACTCAAATACAATTTCTCCCTTTTCTTCTAGTTAACCATTGAGGTAAAATAAAATAAATAAAAACACTCGAAAACCTAAACAAACAGAAAAATGGACAAAATATCATGGTATAGCCAGTTTTCACACTGGTCAATGAAAAATAACCAGCGTTTATCAAGTCAATGAAAAATAGCCACTATTTTGCTGCACCAGGGACCGGTCCAGTATAATATACGGGAGTTCTGGTGCATTTGTGTACGAACTCCAGCATATTATGCTGGACCGGTATACTTTGCTAACTCCTGTAAAATTTGCGGGAGACTGGAGCACCAGTGCTCCAAACTCCAGTATATTATACTGGACAATTATACTTGCTGGAACTCCCGTAAAATTTGCGGGAGTTCCAGCATAATTATGCTTGAACTCCCGTAAAATTTGCGGGAGTTCCAGCATAGTTATCCTGGAATTACGGGAGTTCAAGCATACTTATGCTGGAACTCCCGTAAAATTTGCGGGCGTATTTTTCCGGATTTTGAAGTGTTTTCGCTCAGATTTAAAGTGGCTAAATTTCGATGACTTTTAAAACTTGGCTATTTTTCAACGACCAGTGATAAATCTGGCTATTTTTGAATTTCTCCGAGAAAAATGTGGCGGTAGGAGTTACAGTATTAACGAATTAAAAAAATGTTCATTTTTATACATTCTCTTAATATGTAGACAACAATCCTAAAAAGTTCTTTCATTGATTAAAGCGTATAAATCCATGGTAATTAAGATATTTAATCAATCCAAGTAGAAATTACTTATCCACAAAGTAGCGATTGGAATCTCCTAAAAAATACCTCTTTTCGAGCTCCAAAACTTTGTGAAAAAAGTGATTAAATTTCAGAAAAAGTTAAAAAAAAAAATGGAATAGTTGTCCCAACCTGAATCAGATGCTAGATGATCCCAAAACTCAACTTTGACAAGCACAACATAATCCTTGCGAGATTCCGCCCAAGATAGTCTTTTGAAAAATCCAATTTAGCCTTAAAATGAGAGAGATATGATGTTTTAAAGTGAGAAACATAAAACATGATTTTAGCACGAAAATAAAGTCGTTATGTGTCATATTTTGAGCAGAACTTGAGACAGGATCTGGAACGCCATCATCCAAACATAAGTCTAATTGACTTTTCATTTATCGATTTTTCTCCATTCTTGCGGTACTGGAGTCAAATAGATTTCTGCTTATTAGTCAATATATTAATGCATGTAGTGAACACATAAGGTCTTAATTAGAGATGGCCTTCACCTTCATGGTAACGACGAGACAATTGGAGAGTATTTCGAAGGTAGTGGTTTGTGGCATTTGGAAATGGTTATATGTTTATATGAATTTGTTTATAATATTGATGTTCGAGCCATTTTGTACACCTCTTTACCGTTCACGAAAACTTGTGTAATCTTTTGAGAAACATTCAAGCTTAATGTAGTGTCCTTTTAAATCTTCATCCACTAGTAATCTTTTTTTTTTTTTTAATCACTAACTAAGATGTCAAAAGTAATTCCATCATTTTGAATAATTCACATCTATTTTGAAGCAAAATAATGTCGTATTTCTTAAAATTTTCACCATCTAACAATCTCATTTTTTTAATACTAAGTATTAAAAGAAAAATTGAATGGATCCACTTGGACCATCAATATTTTAGGCTTAAAGCAATTGCTTTATTGGCCTTGGACTTGAGACAGTTTGAGTTAAGAAGAGATCTCCTAAAGATAAATATCGCACATATTGAATAAGTTAAGAATCCTTCTTCAACTCATCAATCAGCACTGCAATACAAAAGCCTAACTTATGGCTCCCTCGCAAGAAAAATGGTCCCAATTATCAGCTCAATCTAGCCTAATTAGTTGAATGTTTCAAGTCATGCCACATGAAACAGACAAAATATAGATAAGGAAATGAAAAGGGGGGGGGGGGGGGGTTCGTGGTCTATGCTGAATTTTTTTTCTTAGAATGAATGGAAAAGGGGTGTTGGTATTGTGATTTTCGTAGTTGCAATTTTTTTTTTCCCAGAGAAAAGGTCCCCTCTTTCAATATCATGATTGAGTCGACCAGGTCAGATCATGAGTGAATAGAAAAGTGAGCCCGTCCAGCTGAAAAACATTAGCTAGCTAGCCCCTTTAAAACTACACCAGCAGAAGGATGAAAATGGATGAAAACTTATCTGACACTCAGAAAATGATAAAAACAAAGATCTAGCATAACAAAAACAAAATAGTGCTAATAGGTGTTCTCCTAGGTTAATGTTAACCTGTATTCTAAATGGACTGTTGACCAAAGAATACAAATCTCTATTGAAAAAGTGAAAAACAATAGAACATCATTATTGTAAAGAGAGTATCAATGCTGCTCTCCATGTTTGACGTAGGCATCTCAGCGATCACCGGAGTCAAACTTTCCTATCCGAAAATACCACCTTGCTTATTCTAGTACGTTGGACCCACAACGGGTAGGAAATGTTGAAGACAAAACAAAGAGGAGCTTTCAGGACCCCATCCAATCAGACAATTGTAAAAGCCTTGATTACACCCCGTAGGATCCACGTGGAATGGGGTTTTCAGCCTAAAACCAACATATCAATAAAACACCATAGTTTGATAAGATTTAAATCCGCCATATATTAGATTCAAAGGCTGTTGAAGATCAAAGCAGGGGGCGTGATATAAATAACCTCTGTTGCAAAGGAGATTACCTGAACCATTTGGCATTTGAAGTCACGCCTCTCAAGCTAATGCAAGGTGCAACCATTAGAAGAGTATGCATTTATAAATTTTGCCAAATGACTACCAAAGAACTAGCTTTCGATATGCTCCAAGCCCTTGAGTAACAAGGAATTTCATGGCATGTGCAGCAAAGCAGATCCATATGCATCTAATCATGACCGCATCCGTGATCACTGGTTCACAATAAGGTAAAGTATGTCATCGAAACACAGAATACAAAGTTTTCTGATACAAGTCCAGAACAAATTAGTGGATATTAAGTAGATGCATAGAGAAGTCTGATAGCATGGTTTTTGCTTCTTGTCTGCAAGGCCATAAGTCTCTATTGCATATTACTCTGGCTATCAACTGTTAAAACAAAGAAGCAAGATTAGAACCTAAAACTCAACAGAATTATTAGTTATATTTAGGGACCAACCTACAGAACAACTCTATTAATATAATTCCAATCTGAATTCTACATGTTCCATATCTGAACAGCTATCAACCTAAAACTCAACGGTTAAGGCAGCGCCGACGCTATAATTTTTAAATGATTCGAAACGTTTGGCAGTGAGACAGCAATTTAACTCCTGGTCAAACCATTCTGGTTGCTCATTTCTTTTCCTCCATCTTCAACAATCCAGACCATACTTAACCATGTGCATTCCAGGTTGTGCTTTATGCCCAGCCAAGCTTCACTGTAACTCACTCTGCTAATATTTATTATACTGATCAAAACCTCTAAATTCTTATAAGAACACAGAATATTATTTCTAAGATGCCAATGTTAGTTCGTATATCCATCCAAATGATAAGTTAAGAAGAACACCAAAGCATGAACTCCTCAGAGGAAGAACAAAAACATCAACACCTCTAGGCACTTATGGATCCTACCAACCAATACCTTCAAGGCCAAAAGTCATAAAGCATGTAATTTCATCTTTAGACCTTCCACCAGACAGAACCAATAACATTTAACCAAATTGAAGAAAAGATACTAAAAGAAGCAGGCAACACAATGTCTAAACAAGCGGACAGACTGTCACACTAAACCACCAATGGGGAGACAAATTGGCTCCAGCCTTGAAAACTTAATACCTAAGCCCACTCACTAATTCCCCAACCCCTGATTCATAGTTCAATTGGGGCCGCAAATATTTTTTGTTTTTTGAAAATGTAATGAATTTAGATTAAGGAATAGCACCCAGAGAGTGCAGTGGATGAGTAGTACAACCATACTTAATAAGCATCTTAGTACACTAGCTACATCTGAAAAGAACTAAGAAAATTAACCATCCTATCTACTTCCTGCATATTTTCATTTTCAGACCAAAAGACCAAGAGCTTTTGTGCTTTAAGGTACAAATATTTTCCTGTTTGCCTACAGAGTATCTCTCATTTCTTGCCCTGGGGCGTAAACATCTTTTCACTTTCTCACTATGCTTTTGCAATGAATTCTGTAAGCAGAGCATCTCCCGCAGTTAAACGAATATAAAAGAAGTAAAATAAAATTGCTGCAAAATAGAAGTCTTGTGTATGTTAGCCTAGGTTCAGATTAAACTTGAATGCCTAAATTTTCCACATTGGAGATGGTAACAGAAAGCTCTCATGGCCAAGGTTAAATCTCCCTGTCAGATGAATATCATAAACTGACAAATACTCTAGTACACAAACTTCAAATTTCAAATTAGTTTTAAAAAGAACTTCTTACCCAGCAATGCCAGTGCATTAGATGACAAGACAAACATGTTAATGATGAAAACAACTGAAGAGGGAAATTCCCACACCTGTAAATAAATAAAAACATTAGTAGAAAAGTATTACAGCAAAACATGAAAGCTTCCAAGTAACTGAACCAATATGGCCAAATGACAGCAAGGAACATACCATCATTGCAATAAGAAAAATCTTGAAGTAACTCGAAACGAGGATCGAAAGCAATATGTGCTTACACCTGTCCATTTCAAATCCAAGTAAACAATAGTCATAATTAATTTCAGCTCCAAAGATAAATATGCTAACTTGAAAGCTGAGGAAATTATTTAGACCAAAACCTCTGCTGCTACATGATCTCTTTTATCCAATTAAATTATTAGAGGTAATCATCTGATCCTTAATGACTTCTCCTGTGTGAGCCAACCCGAAATAAAAGAGGGGTGTTGCAGTAGGTTGACTGCCAACGCAAAACTAGTCGATTTACAATAAGTACTCATAATACATGGAACGAAATAAATAGTGAAGATTCATACAGGAGACATCTACTAGTTGGGGTTAAGAAATAGTTGTTGTTGGATCATCTGGCCCTTGGAGGCCAATTAACCTACCTTCTCTCTAGAAATAACGTATCATTGTTCACTACCTAATCCTTGATTTCACAAATTTGTCTGATTAACAGTAAAAAGGCAAGATAGGTGTATCAACTCTCTACTCAGTGAGAAAATTAGTGAATTCAAGTCTTAGATAAAGAACCTTAGGCAATCCTTGTCTGAAGGCTAATCAGCAGCTCACATCTATATATTGATTGAAATAGCTTTTAATCAGCAGCTCACTTCTACTTATTGATCGTACAATATATATAGGCTCAACGTGGCACTGATAGAGAAGTTCTTTCTATAACAATATGTAAGTGAAACGGTGACAAACATTTTCGAACAACCAAAATGAGAAACGGGGACATTATTTTGGGCAAAGAGAGTATTAAACATCAGAGCAAATATAAACTAAATTATAAGATAAAGAAACCTTTACCTTGAATCTCCTATTTTTGCATTCAGAAACCTCCTTGTGCCAAATAGAATTATGCCAAGGAAAATGAGATTCCCAAAGAAGACTCCCATGAGCACCTAACAACAGCAACCATCACATTATGTTTGAAGCAAAGATCTAGATCCACAGGGGAGCGGATAGGCGGTGAAATAAGACTTTAGAACAAATTTCACGGTATGCACCTTTCCAGAAAGCCCCAGAAATGAGGCAAAGCTTGCCGGCAAACTCCTCTCATCTTGAGTTGTGCATACTACCAACATTTGGTCTTTACTAGTTAAGGCCATTAAACAATGCATGTCTTAAATATTGCCCTTTTAGGAACAGAAAATTGTCATTGAATTCTATTTCACTGAACTGGAGTTCTGATTCTTAGTTCAATAAAGACTAATAGTTTAATACGTTATCTCGAGATTAAAATCATTACACTCACAAGAAGAGAAAATATTTTTGTTGATAAAGAGAAGAGAAAACATTAAAACACTAATAATTGAAAATGATCAAACGCAACGTCAGGAGAAATACTTTAGAATTAAAATTTATATCTGATTTGTAATTGCAAATGGTTGGTTACAGAAACATACAAGAAAAAACAAATAGTTAATTCTTCAAATTATCATGTAGTCACAACCTAGCATGAAGTGTGAACTAAACTATCAACAGTGTGCTCACAGTACAATATTGAAAAATTACTTTTGGCAATACCTAGTTCACGAAGAAAGAGTAACCTTCCATATATGCACGGAAGTATATATATGTAATAATTTGTTGAAATATTGGAATACACAAATTATAGATAAATGCTTGATATCGGTGAATATGAAGTAGAGACTACAAGGATACAAGCATCTAATATCAAGAAGCCCAACGATAATTTCCATAACAAGCACTGCAAAAAGGAAAAAAAAACAAAATCAAAGAAGAAAATGAGAACAAGATGATTTTGTAATGTCATGTCAACATACACTGGAAAAAAAAGTGAACTAGAAATACAGTATCAGGTACCTCATTATGCAAAGTCTCTGGAGAGAACCTATTATAGAACAAGTGTCTGTAGGCTCTAATTTTATGCAAAATCAAGTCAATAACCAATATCTACATTCCAAACAAACAATTAGGAACTAAACCAAGAATGAAGTCTATAAATAGAACTCGCGTTCTCTCTCCCTCACTTTTCCTTTTCAATTTTTTTTCTATTTTAATTACCATAAGTTCACATTCAATGTACTCATCAGCAATTGCTTTGCAATTTCCCTGCACAAAATAGGAAGGTTAAAATTAAATTGTTTTTAAATATAAAAATTCGTACTAACAAGAGAAGTATATCACATAAATTGGGACAGAGGAAATAGATTTTTTAAACATGTGTTTAAAACAAGCTAGACATTTCTGCAGCTATAAATCAATGTCAATATACAAAGTATAACGTAAAATGTTTCTAAATATAAAAAAGTTTCATTCTTTAGACCAAAAAGGAAAGAGTATCACGTACACATTTCATGAGGCGGATATTGCCAGGAGAGTACTGTATGTATAGAGTTGTGACTGAGAATCCACACTGAACACATTTAAAGCTGATCTCTTTTGCCCTTTCACTACCGTCTTTTATCTCCATTTCGCAAAAAAAATTCCTGTAGAAATAAAATTAAAAAACAAAAAAAGTTATATATCGAGGGTCAATTTCAACAGCTAAACTTACTGAGGTTTTTGTCCAAACATATAAATTACCTTGGCTGCCGTGGATTGCGCCGGCGACCGGCAACGGCGACGGATAGGAACTGGCCGACGACCGGCAACGGCGACGGATCTGGAGGTCAAGTATTCTTCTTTCTCAATTTTTTTTGATCTTTTAAGATTTCTGTAATAATTCAAATACAAATTTTTTAAATAAAATCTTTAGATTAATCTATATTATATTCAAAAGAATAGTAGTATGCAGTGGGGTTAAGCCAAGTGGCAAGCTAAAATAAAACCACTTGGTAATTTTAAGACAACATTAATAATTAAGAATTATAAATGGAAACATACTTAATGGAAATGGAAGTAGTTTAATAAATCTTATACATAATCCAAATAGATCTTAGACAAATCCAATATTTATATTTATATTTGTATTTATATTTATATTTATATTTATATGTGTATCTATATCTATATTTATATCTATATATTGATCCACTCATAGATTTTCTTCTATATTAGCTAAAAATATGGAGGTAAAAATTAATTAAAAAACTAGAATAGAAAAAAATAAAAAATACAGAAAGACGTAAATTGAGATAAGCTATGACTATTTATACTTTGGAGCTATAAAATAAAACTAAAATTTACTTAAGATACTAAAGATTTATTGAGTTTAAAAATTAAATATATTCAAGCAGCAAATTAAGATCTTACATAAAGTATACAAATTATTTATAAGGTAAAAACAATTAAATAATCAGTAAAAAATATTTTGTTAACAAGAATAATAAAGTCATATTAATATTGATGAATCATGCAAACGAATATTTTATACGTATAGATTACTACAACATTTAGATATAATGTGTTCAAATAATTAAAAAAATATTTTTCTATGATTAATATTTGAATTGAGTGCAATTAGTTTAAATTTGACAGCACAACACGCTTTTTTGAAAATGCGGTCCAAATTAGAAAATAGAATGACAAAAATTATTTGAATTTGAGATGAGAAAGTTTTTAAATTTTATCTATATTATATTAGAATAAGTGTGGTAGAAATTGATATTAAATTCAAACAAGCTAATAAAATCCACATGACAATGTAATAATATTAGTTATAGAATAATATAATATTAAAAATTAAGAATAAATAGAGAAAAATAAAAATTCAAATTTTTTATCATAGAAAAAAGGGTAAAACTTATTTAAATTTGAGATGAGAAAGTTTTTTATATTATGATAAGAAAAGTCATAATATGGATAAATCCACATAATTCAAGTCTAATAGACAAAATCAAAAACTAAAATATTGAATAATAAAAATAAATTAGAGATAATGTGAGGAAATTTGTAAATAATAAGTTTAGAAAATAAAATAAATGTAAATATACAATACTTAGAAATATTATTAAAATGTAAAAAATTTAAAATTTTCGAGAAATATTTAAAACAAAATAAATATTTATTTTATGATTACAAAAATTATATATTTATCTATATTATATAAAGAATAGTAGTGATAATAATATGAAATAATGTTACAAGTTAATGAAAAGCCACATAAAACATAATAAAACTATATATTAGATTAAAAAATAGCAAAATTATGTTAAATTATTAAAAAATTACTATTAGAAATTGTGACGACCCAAAGGGTCATCACCGGACTTCTTCCTATTTCCGGGCTTCCGAGGCCTTGAAAACCTCGCTTTTAGTTGCTTCGATTTGCGTGCGCAGTCCGGGTGCGAAGCCGGAAAGCTTTTATGTTGAAATATGTGAACTTTGTGAAAAATTTGAAGAATTTTGATATTAATATTGCTAAAGTTGACTTTGGTCAACATTTTTGGTAAACGGACCCGGACCCGTGATTTGGCGGTCCCGGAGGGTCCGTAGAAAAATATGAGACTCGGGCATATGCCCGGAGTCGAATTTCGAGGTCGAGAGCCCGAGAAATGAATTTTTCTGTGAAATTGTTTTTCTGAAATTCTTAAGGAAAATGGAAATGAAAATTGATTAAAAGACCATGGTATGGGGCTCGTATTTTGATTCCGACGCCCGGTACAAGTCTTAAATAGGTGTTAAGCGCTTTCTGTAAAGTTTGGTCGAAATCGGATGTCATTTGACGTGTTTCGGACCTAAATATCTAAAGTTAGAAGTTTAAGAGGTTTGAAATGAAAATGATGATTTTGAGGCTTGATCCATGGATTTTGATGTTATTTTGGCGATTTGATCGCTCGAGTAAGTTCGTAGGATGTTATTGAGTTAGTGTATGTGATTGGTTAGGAGCCCCGAGGGCTCGGGAGCGAATTGGAGGTGGTTCGGGGTGATTTTACACTTAGAAATATAGCAGGTTTTCCTTCAGCTGTTGCAGGCCAGGTTTGTTCTTCGCGTTCGCGGTCGCCCTTACACGATCGCGATGCTGGCCGGGTCCCCTTCTTCGCGTTCGCGAACTAATTCACGCATTCGCGTAGTTAATTTCCCTGGAACAACCCCCCCCCCCCCCCCNTAAGAGGCTTCAAGCATAGAAATATACCAAATTTCAAGAATAAAATATTTATATTTATTAAAGACTATTAAAAGGATAATAAGCAAGATATTTATTTAATTATTAAGCCTAAAAAATTATATGAAAGTATAATAATATTAAAAAATAAATAATACAATAACTACAAGAAAAGAACAAAAATAAAAAAGAATTTACGTAAAATGATGTGATGAATAAGACATATTTGACTTTCAGTCAAAAACAAAGTGATAAGTAAGAATTTTGTTAAAATAATGTGATATAATATGCTCAAACAAGATAGATCACAACATGACATATTTAGTATTTTTTTAGTATTGACACCGAAACGAAATGCAAGTACTAAAATCAAGGGGTTAGGTTACTACAAATAAAAAAAAAGTTGTCTACTACGAGAATTGAATAATAATTTCATATCCTGCTTTATAATTAATATCTAATGTTATATAATTTTTATTTGAAAGGTTTATATTTTAAGGTTATTTGGACATGACTCGAACAACCTACATCACAATGTGACATGATTTGTGTCCGCGCATCGCGCGGGTACTAATACTAGTAATACATTAAGGGGAAAATAAGTTATTAAAAAGAGTCAGGACGCCGTCGTTTTTTCTCTTACCGAGGTAAATCTTGAACTTTAAACAATATTGAGCTATAGCTTATCTTATGTTAGGGAGATTTAAAAGTATTTTATATGCTTATATAACTAATTTTTCACTTATAATTTTTCGCAAAGGGAATTTATCTGAAACCAATTTATTTCTAAAGATCGAAAATTTTTAATTTGATGAAGGTAGCTTAGAAAAGGGAGTGTTAAGAAAAATTATTATATCGCTATTTCATAAAAGGGGATACAGGAAAAATGGCAAAATGATCTTATAAACTATAAGTCATTTGGTTGACGGTCTAGTTATGCAAAATTTATAATGTAATAATTGTTATATCGTGAATAATATTATAAAGAATTTTTGCCAATATAATACAATGATTAAATGGATTATGTATACTATAAGAAATATAATTCAATGTGGGGAGCTGAGCCAAAGCAAGTATCATGGGTGATCCAGAAGATATTTAAAGCAAAGAAACACTTTGAAGAAGCTGGCTACTCAGAACACGAGGTATTCAGAATGGATAAACTCCCAACCAAGGCTATGTACTTGAAGCTTCAAGAAGAGTTTAGCAAGGTTCCATGGAGAAGGTTGATATGCAACAATACTGGGCTACCTAAATGGATATTCATCTTATTCCTGGCTGCACATAGAAGACTACAAACAAGGGACATATTGAGGAGATGGGGCTATGTGGAAGATGCTACCTGCCCACTGTGTCACACAGAAGAAGAAACTATTGATCACCTATTTTTCAAATGTCCATTTTCAACACAAATCTGGACAACAGTGCTGGAATGGCAGAGGGTTCATAGACAGGCGATGACATGGAATCAAGAATTGAAATGGGATGATCGGAAGTTGTAATGCTGAAATTTACAGGATGTCACTAGCCGGAAGCATATACTATATATGGCAAGAGAGGGATGCTGAAACAATCACTCGACTGTTAACACAGGAGATACATTGTAGAGGGAATTTGAAGCAACGTTTGAAGAGAAGGCTACTAGAACTGAACTACTATCCTATTGTTCATATAGATATGTAAAAGACAGTTATGAATAGATAGGAGTAGCGGGAACTTATGTCCGGATCAAGCTACGAAGAGAACCAATGTGTAAATATTACTTGATAAATAAAATTATTTAGTTACCAAAAAAAAAAATACAATGATTAATAATATAAAGATATTTTATAAAGATTGCTTAATGTCACCTCTTCTTTTTCCTTTTTTTCTTTTTTTCTTTTTTTTCTTTTTGCACATAGATAGGTAATGAGAGAATTTATCCAACTCTTATTAACTCTTATTAAAATTCCTTCTTCAACCCATCAAATCTGCATTGCCCTGCAAAAGGGCTCAAAATTATGCATGGTTTCATTACAAGAAAAATTGGTCCTAATAATCAGCCTAATTAATTAATGTTTCCATTCATGCCACATGTAACAGAATAACCATATCTCTTTCCCTATACTCAACAATCTCTGAACTTGCTTAATTCCCCATATTTCCTTCTAAATTTCAAAACTATAAATTCAATCCAGAAAATTACAACTCCACACAACAGAAAGAAAAACAAAAAGAGGAAAACTCAGAAATGGCTAACAATCAAAACTTTATCATTCTTTGTCTTCTTTTTACAATTCTTCTACCAAGTTTTACTCTTCTTGGAAGTGCAAGGAGATCATCAAATGAGTTCGAAATAGAAAAGGCAAAAACACTAGCACACGACGCCATAGCTCAAGGCATTCGCGAAGTTAAGGAAATAAAAGGGTTTATAAACTCTCTCCTTCAGCTTAAAAGCTTAAGGTATTTACAAACTAAGAGTAATTCTCAAGTTTTTAGTTGTGTTAAAGGTGTAATGGAGAATATGGAAGAGCTTAAGGATACACTTTATTTAGTAAAGCATCTTAAATCATCAGATAATTTCTTATTTGATGATTATTCACAGTCTATGCAACATGTGTTGAAGAAGACAAAAAAGAATGGAAAGATGTGTGCCAATGCTCTTAAAGATGTTGAAGATTTGGTTTTTGCTACTATGGTTAAGAGCAAACTCAAGGATTT